ATAAAATATTTAAAAAAAAAAAAAAGATTTTATTTTTAAGTAATCTCCACACCCAACATGGGGCTTACACTCACAACCCCATAATCAAGGGCTGCATGCTCTACTGACTGAGCCAGCTGGCCAGGTGCCCCCTCACTTTTCTATTTTAAATGATTTCTGTTATTATTACACTTATCATGATTTGAAATTTTCTTGTTTATTTATTTACTTCTTTATTTGTTGCAACTTATTTGCTTATTCACATCTTAGCAGGGATCTTGCCAGTTTCAGTTGCCATCATATTTTTAAGTTTGGCTTATAGAAGACACAAAGTATTTGTTAGGTTTTTTTTTTAAAGATTTTATTTATTTGACAGAGAGAGATACAGTGAGAGAGGGAACACAAGCAGGGGGAGTGGGAGAGGGAGAAGCAGGCCTCCCGCTGAGCAAAAAGCCCGATGTGGGGCTTGATCCCAGGACCCTGGGATCATGACCCAAGCTGAAGGCAGATGCTTAAGGACTGAGCCACCCAGGCGCCCCTATTTGTTAGTTTTTTAGTACACCGCTCCAAAATAAAAGTCACTGTTTTGATACCTATAAGGTATACCAATATATTGAAACTAAAGGATGATAAATTATTCTGTGTTCTCCTATAAATGAAACTGGGATGAAATCTGTTGAAAGCCCAGGTGTTAGTAGATGAGAGAAGCGACCACATTCTCTAGTTGGGTGGGGTTGGGTAAATGCTCAGCTTGAGTTTAGGGATTCCAGGAATCCAGTGGTTCCTGCTTCCACTAAAGCAGCTCTTCATTCATCAGCATTTCAGAGACTCTGCATAAGCTTTTGTTTGAGGAAATGATTCCAGGGCCTAAAAACAGAGTGTTTAGGAGAGGGTGGTAGAAATCATTTACATTGTATATTCTTCCCTTTCAAAGTCAATGTGCTGTAACTATTATTAATGTTACTATAAATAGTAATAGTAACAAAACTATTGCTGCCTCAATTTGAAAGCAATTATGCTTTTTTCGAGTTTTAGAGAGAATCAAACACCAAGGTTTCTAGAATCAGAAAATTTTTGCCTTTTAGCTATGTAAAAAATTAAAAGTTAAACCTTGTACTGGAGAATTTTAGAATCTTTGAATTCAAAGTTTCTCCTACCACTGTAATAATCTCATATTTGATTTCTCTTTAATAGAGCATATAAAAACATGTTTAGCGTTTCCTCCCTTGCCAGGTTGCATTTTATCTTGAGTAGATTTAAAACCAGATTAGTTGTAACAGGATTCCAGGATGTGGGCAGATGTCTATTTGTCATGGACGATATCTCTTGCAATCAGCTCCTTCATTATTTCGTTGGTACCACCATAGATTGGCTGAACTCGGGCATCCACATAAGCTCTAAATAAATCAGAAGATGACTGAGTAAATAAAAGATATTGGAAATTACAAATTTTGACTTACCAGGTAACTATTAGTTTATTTATTTAATGAAATCCGAACAATAAAAGTTCTTTATAAATTCCTTTTTTTCCACTATGGCATTCATCCTAGATTTTTATAATTATAAAATTCTATTAAGATACTGATCATCTTTATAGCTTTGTTTTAGTTTGCTTGATGAGACTGCAATTTCAAAATAACATTTATTAGTATGTTTCATTGATTTAATTTTGTAAAATTTAGCACATACAGCATTCTAAAAAAGGCTGTTTCAGGTTTAGAATGGACAGAATGTCTTAACTTCTTGTTATCTTCAATGTTCCCTTAAAAAAAAGTTGAAATCTACTGGTTTTATAGGAAACAAAAGAGAAAAGAAAGTACCTATTTTCTAACATCCCTTTAGATTCCCACTACCAATGCTGCCATCAGGAGTATAAATTGATACTTTAGAAAATATTACTTCCCACAAAGTTAACAAGTAACTTATTTTTTGAAAATGGTTAATAGTCACTCCAGTAATGTATGACATTAAAATACTGAGTGCCTAAGTCTACTGCCACAAAAAAAGAAAAAATGTTACGAGGAATTCACTTTTGGTAGCAATGATAGCAACCAGGAAACTGTATAGTTGTTTTTACCTTTTCTCATCTCATTTTATCCTCCCACTTTATCCTCTCATTTTATCCTCTCATTTTCTCATCTCATTTTATCCTCTCATATCCTTTATCCTTTACATCAGCATCAGGGAGGATAAATATTACTATTGTTTTGCAGGTAAAGGAACTGAGTGCAGAGCAGTTATATATACATGTACTAATTAATGGTTGCTATTTATTGGTCACATAACAGATAATTAATTGGCAGGCTGGAATGAGAAGGTAGGTATCTTGCCACTTTGGCAAGTATCTTTTTTATTCTATCACAATATTTTCGTTGGTATAGGCATGCAGGACTAGTTATGAGCTTTGGACTTTCCTAGTAGACAAATTCAAAGGCATTTTTTTTTCAAGCATAAAATGCTTTTTGTTTTTATTTATTTATATTTATATTTATTT